GCCCCTGCCTGACCTTTCACTGTTCATGTTAAATGTGTGAACTGGGCCGGCGCGGTGGCTCATGCCTGTAATCTCAGCACTTTGGGAGGCAGGTGGATCACTTGAGGTCTGGAGTTCAAGACCAGCTTGGCCAACATGGCGAAACTGTCTTTACTAAAAATACAAAAAATTAGCCGGGCGTGGTGGCAGGCACCTGTAGTTCCAGCTACTCAGGAGGCTGAGGCAAGAGAATCACTTGAACTCGGTAGGTGGAGGTTGCAGTAAGCTGAGATCATGCCACTGTACTCGTCTTAAAAAAAGACAAAAACAAAGGTGTGAACTGGAAACATCCCTGCCTCTATGGTGCTAGCGTTTTCTCCGTCTCCCTGGGGAAGAGTCGGGGGTGGGTGGTCCTCAGCCTTCTTCCCAGAATCCAGTCTGCTTTATACACATATGCCTGGGGGGTGGGGGCCCCAGATTCTAGTTTCTATTACATTCTCTAATTTCCCACTTGGCCATTGTCCTTATGCAAGACAGCTGCTGGTCTGTGTGCCACTCTGCGCCAAGCCTGCTCACTGAGCGTACCTCTTAATCCTAAACGCCTTTCTGCTGTTCCGTCTCCTGAGCAGACATAAATGTTCCTCCTGCCTGATTACCCTGTCAGCTGCTGGCGGCATCCTCGTCTTTCTTCTTTTAATGGAGCCGCCTCCCACACTTTTACCTTGAAGCAATAGCTAGCTATTAATACACAATGCCATTTATCCCGGTAAGGAAAGAGCCCTATTACTAAGGCCCTTGGCCACCAGTTGTTATCAGGAATGGATGTTAAATGTGAAACGTCTCCTTAGGATCTCACGTTCTAGGCTCTTCTCTGAGCCAGGAGTACAGTTCAGTGTACGACTGGGTTTACTGACACAAAGCCAGTCTCTCGCCGCTGCTGTGGCCACTGTCGGTGACTATTCTTTTTCTACAGTGCTAGATTCTATTTGCTAAGATTTTTTACTTTTAAAATTAAAAAAAAATTTTTTTTTTGAGATGGAGTCTCGCTCTGTGGCCCAGGCTGGAGTGCAGTGGCATGATCTCGGCCCACTGAAACCTCCACCTCCCAGGTTCGAGCGATTCTCCTGCCTCAGCCTCCTGAATAGCTGGGATTACAGGCGTGCGCCACCACACCTGGCTAATTTTTGTATTTTTAGTAGAGACGGGGTTTTACCATGTTGGTCAGGCTAGTCTTGATCTCTTGGCCTTGTGATCTGCTCACCTCGGCCTTCCAAAGTGCTGGGACTGCAGGCGTGAGCCACCGCGCCTGGCCCTATTTGCTGATTTCACTGGGGGTCTCTGCATTTCCATTCATGAGGGGAGCTGGTCTGTGCTTCCTTTCTCTGTCTAGCTGCTGCACAGTGGTGAAAGCCACAGGTTCTGGAACGAACCTTCCTGGATCCGATCTCAGTCCCACTGCATGTGAGCTGCAGACCTCAGGCAAGATGCTTCACCTCTGAGTGTGTAAGGTGGAGAGGAAGATGCCCTCCTCGGGACTGTCCTGATGTTTCTCTCGCTCCTGCAAAGTACTTGGCACAGTGGCTGGTGCCCCTTCTAGCTCATTCCCACACTCGGGCCACGTGGGTTCCAGGGAATGAATGGGGTGGCTTCCTTTCTTTGTGGCGTCTCTGAGCTGCAAGCTCTTTGGAGCCACTCGTGGTGCCTTGACAACCTGTCACTTTGCTCCATGTACCAGAGACTCTTCAGGCTTTCTACCTTGAGTGGGCATCACTGATTTCTACGGCCTGCAGAACAGTCATTTCTTCAAGTTTTAAAATGTACTAAAAGGCCGGGCATGGTGGCTCACACCTGTCATCCCAGCACTTTGGGAAGCTGAGGTGGGCGGATCATGAGGCCAAGAGATTGAGACCATCCCAGCCAACAGGGTGAAACCCTATCTCTACTAAAAAATACAAAAATTAGCTGGGTATGGTGGCGTGCGCCTGTAGTCCCAGCTACTCAGGAGGCTGAGGCAGGAAAATTGCTTGAACCCAGGAGGTAGACATTGCAGTGAGCCGAGATTGTGCCACTGTACTCCAGCCTGGCACCTGGCGACAGAGCGAGACTCCGTCTCAAAAAAACAAAAAAGAAAAGAAAAGAAAAGAAAATGTACTAAAATGGAACACAGCACTCCCTTACTAAACTCCTCTCTGTCAGCTGCATGTACTTGCAGGGAATTCTTTTAAAAAAGAAAAAATGTAAAAGCTAAACTAACACCCTTTCTGTATCTGTGGTGTGCCCTGCTTGTGCGTCCTCATACTGCACATTTATCGGCAAAGTCTGCTCATCAATTCTCAAAATCCAGCTCACTGACTCTGAGATGAGATACCCCTATTCCATGTCGCCTTTCAGTCACATGATCTGTAGGCACATCATCTGTCACAGACAGGAGCTGGTCGCTGCATTCCTGGTGCTCTGCCCAGCTGCTTTTGGTTCATGCATAGCAAGCACGTCCCTTGAGAAAGCAAAGCTTCATGACCGTTACAGTCCCTACAGAACTGCATGAGATGCATTTTACAGACGATTTCAGCCCATTCATTCCATGAACACTGCCTCTTACTTCTCGGTAATTGTTTTCTTAACTTTAGGTGGAGAGGGTATAGACTCTGGAGCCACCGGCCGGCTTTATCCCTGCCTAGTGCCATCCTGGCAAACACCTGGCCTCTCTGCACCTCAGTTTCCTCACCTGTAAAATGAGATAACAAGAGTTTCTGGGGCATAGTGGGGACTTGTAAGTTTCTTTAAATGGGATAATGAGAGTGCCTTCCAGGTGGAGAGACGGTGAAGCCTGATGTACGTGAACCACCCAGCAAAGCTCAACAATGGTACAACCACTACCATGGTTGGGGGGCAGTGTCACACGCTGCATATGTGCACAGCACTCAAGTTTTGAAATAAGGCCAGGTGTGGTGGCTCACACCTGTAACCCTAGCAGTTCAGAAGGCCGAGGCAGGTGGATCACCTGAGGCCAGGAGTTCAAGACCAAACTGCTCAACATGGAGAAACTCCATCTCTACTAAAAGTACAAAAAAGTAGCCAGTCAAGGTGGCAGGCACCTGTAATCACAGCTACTTGGGAGGCCAAGGCAGGAGAATCACTTGAACCCGGGAGGTGGAGATTGTAATGAGCTAAGATCACACCACTGCACTCCAGACTGTGGGTCAAGATGGCCAGGGGGAGACCTATGTTAATTCTAGCTAAATAATTAGCTTACTTAGCTCACAGTGCACTGAAGTTTACACACCAAACTAAGCTTTATTAGTGCCGTTAATCAGAAATCAAGCAGCAACAGGAGGCCTAAGGTAAAGAGCATCCGAGAAGCAGGAACACAGGGAACACCGCGGGGTGGCTGCAGAGCACGGAATACTGCTCTGGTCCCGCAAATGCGTTCTCAACATGGAGACTGTGTAAGCGCCTCGTAAAGAAGGCTTATGCAAAGATGTCTGAGAAGGGAGGCGGCCTCTGCTCACAGGATCCAGGAGGGTCTTTGCAGATGGGAACTGGCAAGGAGGAGAAAAGCCTTGCAGGGCAGAGATCACAGAACGCCTCAGGCTCTGCCTGGGTTCTCAGAATATGGAGTGATTTCAGTTGCTCTATGTCCTCAATGCTAGGGAGGTAAAAGCCCCTTGATGCACTGGGTGCGGTCAGACTGGGTGGCTCCTCACCCTGATAACAATGGGTGGTGAACTCAGAGTTCTAGTGTAGCATGTCTTAGAAGGATCTCAAGTGCTGTTAAACGCTCAGAGCACAGTGTAGCATGTCTTAGAAGGATCTCAAGTGCCCTCCACCCCGCTATCTTACCCACTCCTTCACCCTCCCCTTCCACGCCCGTAAGATCAGTGAGATTGTGCACGTAGTAAAAGTGTTTGGAGCCCAGAGCTCGGGGCCAACGCGGTTCCCACGCTTGCGACGGTCCCCTGGACCCATGCTGTAAATTCTACTCTTGTGTCTCTGTCTTTATTTCCTTTTCTCAATCCCTCATCACCGCCGGGACTAAGGGTACCCACGTATGGGGTGGGGCTGGGACCCAACACGGCCTGGGCGACAGGAGTGAAACTCAGTCTCAAAAAAAAAAAAGTTCAGACTATCTCAAGCCAATGCCACAATGACTTCTGCTGCCCCTGGGAACCAAGGGCCCCCCTGCTCTGGGATGGAATGCCCCCTCCAAGGGACAACGAGACCCATTTACATCCCCATTTCCGCCCCTGCTAGGGGTGCAGGCTGCTCCTCCAACAGGGGTTGTCAGGTGCAAGCCAAAAATGGCCAGCGCTCAGAAGGAGATGGAAATATCACGTCCTTCTGCCTGTGTACAGGGGATCCGGCCCATGGCATCTCCAAGTGGCTGGAATTTTCCCCTTTCACAGAAGGGGATACCAGAGGCCAGAGACAGCACTTAATGTGTAATACTCCACTGTATGAAGACACCACGATTTAATTTAGTATCATGAAAGGAAGATTTACTCTGCCAAAAGGAAAGGATTAAGCTGAAAGCTGAGTCATGCAAGAAGCTGCTTTCCGTTTTGTTCCCAAGCAGAGAGTGAGGATGAAAGGTGAAAATTTCCACTCTGTGCTCACCTGACCTTTGTAAAGTGCAGATTTACCGAGCGCCAGAGGGATACATAACTGACTGTTCCCGTACCTGCCAGGAGTAGTTCCACTTTCACAAATGCTGGCAAATGCTAGGATTCCAGGCTTATTTTCAGGCTTAACTCTCCCTCTGTAGGGTGATGAGGTCTCACTTTGTCCCCATCCCCCAGACTCTCCCTCTCCCGTGCGCGTCAGATGGGCGTCTACACCTGCTGGAGGGGGTTTGCGAACTTCGCGCCTGTCCACGGTGGAACACCCCACACCACCCAGCCCCGGAGACCCGCAGGGCGCCGTGATGCGGTTTCGGGCCTTCCCTCCCCACTAGGTGAACATCTTGGGCAGGTGTAGGAACCTCCGAAGGGCTCAGGAGAAAACCCGAGGCGGGCGGTTCTCACCTTGTAGTGCGCCAGCTGCAGGGCCAGCTGCACAAAGGCGTCCGGGCTGGTGCGACATTTCTTGATGATTCCTTTACCAAAGCCTTCAAATGGGAAGGAATGGAAATCCACATCGTTTGCCAGAAGATTTGCGGTGTTCAGGGAGGTCTCTATAACCTCTTGACACTTGAGAGAAAGAAGAAAAAGGTTTCACGGGACGAGCGGAGAAAGTACTGGCACAGACGCGGAAGGAAATGGGGGCTGGCGTGTCGCGCAGCTACACACTCGGTACTGGGAGGTACAGCGACGTTTTCTTGACCCAGAGGCCCCAGTCAGTTAGGAGCACGGCTCCCTGACCTCCGAGGAGCAGCGGGGGCGTTATGGCAGGTGGCGGGCCCGACAGGAGCAGGGCAGGAGAGGGCTTCCTCCGACACACACCGGGATGTCCCGGGACCATGAGTGACGTCACGTGGTGGTTAACCGTCTCTCTCTAAAGTCACGATTTGTCACAGCTGGTGCCAGGGAATGAATGGCAGTCTCCCAACAGACAGAAACACCCGGAGCTGACCGGCCGTAGGTGGCCGACGCCTGTAATCCCAGCACTTTGGGAGGCCCAAGCAGGTGGATCACAAGGTCAAGAGTTGGAGACCAGCCTGGCCAATATAGTAATACCCCGTTCTCTACCAAAAATACCAAAAAAAAGTTAGCCGGGCGTGGTGGCGGGCGCCTGTAATTCCAGCTACTCGGGAGGCTGAGGCAGGAGAATCACTTGAACCCAAGAGGCGGAGGTTGCAGTGAGCCGAGATCACGCCACTGCACTCCAGCCTGGGTGACAGAGGAAGACTCCAAGTCAAAAAAAAAAAAAAAAAAAAAAAAGAAAAGAAAAAGAAACACCTGGAGCTGGTGACCAGCAGCTTCCCGATAAAAAAAAAAATCTCAGGCCTTGGGCGACTGGGCTCAAGCATGCGCATTGAAGGGCAAAATGGCGGCATCTAACTGGCGTAGGACCTTCCTCTAGGAATGCTAAACCACCGCCGCAAGTGAGCATGCGCACAACTCCTGTAACCACATCGCGCATGCTCCTCTCCCCAGCGCGGGCAGCCAGACAGCCCACCCCAAGGGAGGAATCGGGAGAGTAACACAAGACCCTGGAAGCATGCCAGTGTATAAAACCTCAAGTCGGCCCGGCGCGGTGGCTCAAGCCTGTAATCCCAGCACTTTGGGAGGCCGAGGCGGGTGGATCACGAGGTCAAGAGATCGAGACCATCCTGGTCAACATGGTGAAACCCTGTCTCTACTAAAAATATTAAAAAATTGGCTGGGCATGGTGGTGCGTGCCTGTAATCCCAGCTACTCGGGAGGCTGAGGCGGGAGAATTGCCTGAACCCAGGAGGCGGAGGTTGCGGTGAGCCGAGATTGCGCCATTGCACTCCAGCCTGGGAAACAAGAGCGAAACTCCGTCTCAAAAAAAAAAAAAAAAAAAAGCCTCAAGTCAAAAGGTCAGACCGCGCTCCTGATGGCTCAGCTTGGCCGCTGCTTGGCCCTCTTCCAAATGTGCTTTCCTTCTCTGATTCCTGCTCTCAGGTTTTTTAATAAACGTTCTCTCCAGATCTGAAACTTGCTTTGCTCTCTCCTGCCTTCTGCCCCACAGTCAAATTCGTTCTGAGAAGGCCAGAATTGAGGTTGCTGGGGACCGGCATGGATACGTTCCACCGCTAACAGGAACACAGGTAGGGATGGGGGCACCCTGGCTTCCAGTGACACCCCAAAGGGTGTTTCAAATAGTCACACATCATCTCATTAAGCCCACTGCCCTCACACAGTGGCAATCGAGAAACACATTTTTTACTTTTTATTTTTTATTTATTTGAGACAGGGTCTCGCTCTGTTGCCCAGGCTGGAGTGCAGTGGTGCCATCTCTGCTCACTGCAACCTCCACCTCCCAGGTTCAAGTGATTCTCCTGCCTCAGCCTCCCAAGTAGCTGAGACTACAGGTGCCCACCACTACCCCCGCTAACTTTTGTATTTTTAGTAGAGATGGGATTTCACCGTGTTGTCCAGGCTAATCTTGAACTCCTGACCTCAGGTGATCCACCCGCCTTGGCTTCTGAAAGTGCTAGGATTACAGGCGTGAGTCACTGTGCCCAGCCGAGAAACACATTTTTAAAAACAAATCTTTGAATGTATTTTGCATGTGAGAAGGAAAAAAGAGAAAAAAAAATCTTAAAAAATAAATGGACAACCATACAACAAAATTTTATGCAGCACTAGGAATAAATGAGCCGTACAACTACGAAAAAACTTGGACGAAATTTAAATGGTTATTTTAAATTTAAATGGTTATTTTAAGTGAAAGAAACCAATCTGAAAAGGCTACACTTGGATGATTCCAATGACAGCAGCACTTTATCCATGTGGATCCATTGTAAGACCCTCAGTGGACGTCTGAAAGCTCAGATAGTACGGAACACTAGGGATGGCGTTTCCTCCAGCTCTTAACCAAGACAGCCACTAAGTGGATAGCATCTGCAGCATGAGCACACTGGACGAAGGAATGACTCCAGCCTGGGTGGGACCGCACAGGGCAGCAGGAGGTTTCATCACCCTACTCAGAATAGCATGCAACTTAAAACTTGTGAATTGTTTGCTTCTGGAATTTAATACTTTTGGACCTTGGAATTGAAATCTCAGAAGGTGGCACCTCAGCTAATGGGGGGAACTACTGTATCTGACATTCTGGAAAAGGGAAAACTATGGGGAGAGTGACTATGATTCACGGTTGCCAGGGGCTAGCAGGAAGAAGAATCCATAGGTGAAGCACCGAAGATTTTTTTGCAGTGAAACGATTCTGTATGACACTGTAATGGCAGACACAGGGCACTGTCCATGTGTCCAAACCCAGACAATGTGCAACACCAAGGGTAAATCACTTTGGGTGATAGTGACGTGTCGGTGCAGGTGTGCCAGCTGTAACAAATGCATCACTCTGTTGGGGATGTGGATAGGTGGGAAGGCTGTGTATGTGTGGGGAGAGGGGTGTATGGGAACTCAGTTTTGCTGTGAACCCAAAACTGCTCTAAATAATAAAGTCCGTTAAAAGAAATTTAAAAAGGAATAAATGGTAAGTGACTTGGTCAGATACCACGTCCCTAATCCCAAGTGCTCTGCGGAGGTTATGGCTCTCTGCAGAACCCGAACCAGCCCTGGGGCTGCAGGGCAAGCAGAAGCAATGGGCTAAGACCACAGCAGTAGACACAGTACCTCACTATGTGGAAAATTATTTCTGGCTGGGTGCAGTGGTTCATGCCTGTAGTCCCAGCACTGTGTGAGGCCAGATGGGTGGCTTGCTTGAGTTCAGGAGTTTGAGACCAGCCTGGCAACGCGGCAAAATCCCATCTCTACCAAAAACATAAAAATTAGCTAGGCGTGATGGCACACACCTGTGGTCCCAGGTACTTGGGAGGCTGGGGTGGGAGGATTGCTGGTCCCAGGGAAGTTGAGGCTGCAGTGAGCTGTTACTGCACCACTGCACTCCTGCCTGAATGATAGAGCAAGACACTGTTTCAAATAAAAAAACAAAAATTTTAAAAAAGAAAATGGTATCCTGGACTCCAGGAATTTCTCCTTGGATTAAGTGAACTAGGATTTGGTATTTGCAACCCTAAAATTCCTTCCTAAGTGCTCCTGTGAGTGGGCTGCCTCTGAGAGTGTTTAAGAGGTACAAAATGAATTAAACTTGGAGAATTATAAATCAGCAATTTAGAGGCATTCAGCTCTAACCTATGAGATTTTGGCTTTCATTTTTGTTTGTGAGCATTTTACAGACGTCTGGTTAAGTTTGAGCTGAAAATCCCACTGACAATCTTAGCCAAAAACTTCAAACAGAAGAAGAAATATTTACCGAGGTTTCCAAGGCAACAGGAGCTGTGACAGCCCCGCAGACCTCACGAAACTCCCTGAGCAAACAACTTTCAGCCTCAGTGGTCTTCAACTGAGCTCATGATTGGGCAGGAACTACAGTTGGAAAATTCGTTTGTGAGAGTTCAAATATGTTTCCCATCCCAGGTACGTAACAATGGTTGGCTAATCTGGACTTACTTCCCCCGGGATGTCCCACTGCAGCCTGGTGGGGTATGGAATGTTCGGACTGGCGTCGCCTTTGCAGTGTCCATCCTCCGCATAGCCCAGCTGGAGGCTGTCAGTGGACATGACGTACTGTCAAAAAGAAAACAACATTATGAAAACCGACGGTGGTACATGAAACACATTCAGTCTCCAACACGGACAGAGCCCTGTTCTTCGCAGAGATGTCACAAAGATTGAAGCACAGCTGCGAATACTTCCTGTGTGCTCAGCACTGGGTGGAGCTGATCTCCACATCAGCTGGGAAACTCTCTGAGCATGTGACAGGGAGAGGACAGGAGAGGGCTAACAGCTTGTTCAGGTTCATGGTGCTCTTTTCACCGGCAGGTAAACCTAAGCCAGTTTATTTCCTGGGCACCTACTGGGGGTCGGAACCACTGTAGCACTGTCACCATCCAGGCACTGGTGACAGAGCAGACGAGAAGTGTGTTCTGTGAACACAACAGACAAGAATTCTAGCCCTTCCTTAGAAAGTGAAATATACCTATATGACCCATTAATTTCGCTCCTAGGCATATACTCAATGAAATGAAATGAAAAGAGATATTCACACAAAAACGTGCACAGAATGTTCACAGCAGCATTATTCATAATAGCCAAAGAGTATAAGCAACCTAAATGCCCATCAGCTGATGAAGAGGCAAGCCAAGTGTGATCGATCCGTACAATGGGCTAGTATCCAGCCCTAAAAAACAATGAAGCCCAGATACGTGGTACAATATGATGAACCTTGAAAGCATCGTGCTGAGTGAAAAGAAGCAGGCGGGCGCGGTGCCTCACTTCTGTAATCCCAGCACTTTGGGAGGCCAAGGTGGGAGGATCACTGGAGGCCAGGAATTCCCGACCAGCTAGGCAACATAGTGAGACCTCATCTCTATATAAAGTTTAAAAAATCAGGCGGAGTGTGGTGGCACATGGCTGTAGTCCCAGTTACTGAGGGGGCTGAGGTGGGAGGATCACTTGAGCCCAGGAGGTCAAGGTTACAGTGAGCCATGACTGTGCCACTGCACTCCAGCCTGGACAATGGAGCAAGACCCTGTCTCTAAAAAAGAAAGAAAAGAAAGCAAAAGAAAAGAAAAAATAAGCCAGACACAGAAGACCACATACTGTATGATTCCATCTATATAAGATGTCCAAAATAGGCAAATACAGACAGAAAATAGATTAGTGCTCATCAGGAACGCGGGGGAGAATGGAATGAGGGGTTTCTTTTGGAGGTGATAAAAATATTACAGAATTAGGATGGGTGCGTGGCTCATGCCTATAATCCTTAACACTTTGGGAGGCCAAGGTGGGTAGATCACTTTAGGTCAGAAGTTCAAGACCAACCTGGCCAACAAGGGGAAACCCTGCCTCCACCAAAAATACAAAAATTGGCTGGGTGTGGTTACCCGTGCCTGCAGTCCTGGCTACTCTGGAGGCTGAGCAGTGGTGACTGTGGCACAATCACCCTGTGAATATACTAAAACGCACTGAATTGTATACTTTTAAAGGGCAGATTTTAAGGCATGTGAATTATATCTCAACTAAAAAAATTAAATTTTTCTAAAAAAGGAATCCCTGTGCTCAGGAAGCTTGCATTCGAGTGAGGGAGAAATAACACAGGGTCAGGGGGTAAGTGTCAGCTGGTGAGGGGGTGGGGCAGGTGGAGGGCGCCACTAACACGTGGGGGTCACGATCCAGGCCGACCTGAGCCAGTGAAGGAATAGCCTTGATAGGTGCCAGCTGCTCTGAGTTACAGCTCCAGAAGAGCCTGACGCAGAAACATCAGAAATAAATCAAGAGCAAGGCTGGGTGCGGTGGCTCAAGTTTGTAATCTCAGCACTTTGGGAGGCTGAGGCAGGCAGATTGTTTGAGCCCAGGAGTTCAAGACCAGCCTGGGTAACATGGCAAAACCCTGTCTCTACAAAAAAATACAAATATTAGCCAGGTGTGGTGGCGCACACCTGTGGTCCCAGCTGCCAGGGAGGCTGAGGTGGGAGAATTGCTTGAACCCAGGAGTTGGAGGCAATGAAGACAAGGATGCCTTTAATTTAGTGATTTAACTTCATGTGTGTTACTAGTATGAGTGAAAAATACATATTCTATAATCACAGAAATATTATGAAACTAAATTCAGTGTGGGGTTTGGATTTCTTTTTTGTTTTTAATTTTTGAGACAGTCTCGCTCTGTTGCCCAGGCTGGAGTACAGTGGTATGATCTTGGCTCATTGTAACTTCTGTCCCCAGGTTCAAGTGATTCTGCTGCCTCAGCCTCCCAAGTAGCTGGGACTACAGGTGTGCACCACCACACCTGGCTAATTTTTGTATTTTTAGTAGAGACAGGTTTCACCATGTTGGTCAGGCTGGACTCGAACTCCTGACCTCTCAGGTGATCTGCCTGCCTCGGCCTCCCAAAGTGCTGGGATGATAAGCGTGAACCACCGCGTCCTGCCAGGTTTGGATTTTCAAAAGCAACTTCCATATTCAAGTGAAAAGTACAGAAACGCACCTCCCAAAGGTGGCCGACGATGGGCGCGTCTGCCCAGGAGTGCTCTGCATTCATGCCCATCTTCCCGTTTTTGAAGACAACAAACGTGATCGACTTGTCAAACCACCTGCGTAACACACACACACATATGGAACTTCAATGTTGGAAGAGGGAAAATGAACAGACGTTACTCCTCTCTGCTTCATCCTGGGTGGACGAATTTACTGTGCACCTGCCCCTCTAACAGCGACTGGATGCTCAATCTCTGTAGAGTGAAGATGAAAGCACGAATGGGACACTGAACTACTAACCTCTTCCCTGTCCCAGACACAGAGATGAGCACTTTATGTCCTGGAGAGCTGAGGACAGGACCCCTTATTATCACAAGGCAACTGGGGAGAGGTCCGAGGCTCTTCCCGTGAGCACATGACCCCTTCATCAGCCAATCCTTGTCCCCACCCTGCAGGGAGGCTGGCCAACACTTTACAGAGAAGGAAAAGAGGACTGGAGGTAGCCCCGGGCGGACACCCTGTGCCCAGCCCTGTCCGCCACTCTCCCCTGCCTGAGTCCAGGGACCTGGCAGCCCTGCAGCTCACAAGCATCTCCAAACAAAGGTGGTCATGCGCTGAGAAGGGAAGAATCGCAGATGTGCAGCTCAGGCTGTGTACGTGTGACAGGTTTGGCACAGGGAAGAAAATTGAAGGTTGGCGGGGCGCGGTGGCTCACGCCTGTAACCCCAGCACTTTGGGAGGCCGAGGTGGGCGGATCACTTGGGATCAGGAGTTCATAACCAGCCTGGGTAACATGGTGAAACCCTGTCTCTATGAATAATATAAAAATTAGCCAAGTGTGGTGGCATGTGCCTGTAATCCCAGCTACTCCAGAGGCTGAGGCAGGAGAATTCCTTTAACCTGGGAGGCAAAGGTTGCAGTGAGCCGAGATCACACCACTGCACTCCAGCCTGGGCAGCAGAGAGAGACTCTGTCTCAGAAAAAAAAAAAGAAAACTGAAGACTGTATTTTTATGCCACCTTCTTCCTTAGCAGTATAGATGCTCCGGGGGGAGTGCCAGCCACTCAAGGGTATTTATTTCAAGCTTGTGGGCACACTCCCATGTCTCCAAAGATATGGACGATACCTGTCATAACACCGGCCGTGCAGTAGAGACTTGGCGTAGCTGTCCATTGACGTATCTGGGTCTTCCCTTCTGTATCCTTGTTCAGTTTCATCTAATGTCACGAAGAACGCTGCTTTCTCCACGGCATCAAGAGACTGCTTATTTTTCCCATGCCCAAAATAGGCCTGGCGACACCTGGCCCAGGGAACTCTGTGGTGAAGATGAAATCCAATTAAAGCAGCCAGACCTGCAGCGATGGGGCGGCGTCGCCTGCCACATGATGTTTGCAATGACCCAATCAAACCTTTGTGGGTTTTCAGAATTTCTCGAAGGAAAACTCCATGTTGGTGATTTTCCCCCTCTGAGACTGTTTGCTGGAAGGAATCTCACCTTCTCCTCGTCTCCAGAGCAGAGCACAGGTAATTTTTGTTCAGTAAGTGCTGACTGAATGGATGACCAGAATGAGGCTGGGCCTGTGGGCAAAGCCGCCAGGAAGCAGCAGGCGCAGAGCACCGTGCTCCATGCTCCCCGACGCGCCCTCGCTGCCCTCCACAGGAGCCACCCCAGGTAAGTTCCCGCAGCCAGGTCACACTAAACAAGTAACAGTGCGTCGCTCATGCCAGGCTCTGCCTCCAAACCTTCTCTGTGTGCCAATTCACCGATCTTCTCAGTGCTATGGTACCCAGTTTCCAGATGACAAAACTGAAGCACAGAAAGATTAGGTAACAGCTATTTTGGGGCAGAGGTGGAACCCAGACCATCAGCCCCCAAGGGCATGCCATGAATGACCATGTGACCCCTAAACAAGGAGACTCCGTGGCTGTTTATTTGGAATACACAGACAGATGTGACACCTACTGCTTTCTTAGAAGACGCACCGGCTGGGCTTCCTCTGACGCTCCTGGGCCCCTCTCACTCCAGCTTCTCTACAGCCCTCTGCCCCTGCCCACCCTTCCAGATCACGGCCATCTGGCTCTCTTCCCACCTTCTTCTCTCTTCAAGTGCTTGGCAATGGTGGCCCGCAGGGCCAATAAACCTAGAGACACACGCCAGGCCCCAGTGCATACCCCACCCAGGGGACAAAGGTGACAGTGATGGTGGCCAGCATGTACGGAGCCTTTCGCATGAAAGACTCCCATGGGTAAGATGCTGGTGTGGCCCTATCCAGAGGGGGCATCAGGACTGAGGCACCTGCAGACCCACAGGAAGCCTGGGCCCCACAGCACCTCCTTAGGCTCCCCACACCTCCTCCGCTGGGGATTCCAGGCTCTCAGAAGCGCCCATTGCAAGAGCACATCTTCACTACAGATGCATCCCTTACGGCTGCTCTTTCCAGCCTTGTCAACGCCACGGCGGACACTGAACAATGCCGGCTTTCCTGCACACATCCTCCCCCATCCTGCTCCTGCTTCCAGCCCTGGCCCTCTTTCAGGCCTTCGGGCCACCAAAAAGCATCCCTGTGTCCAGGGCCCCTCCTTCCTGCCCAACCAGAAGAATCTCCTGCATAAACCTACTCCTGCACCCCCCACCCCACCCCACCCCGCACCGCCTGAAGCAGACGCAGTTACAGAATCAAGCTCAAATACGCTTGGGTGCCCAGGACCCTCCCCAGCCTGGCACGGTGGCCCAGCCACCCAGCCCGCTCCACAGCTCCCGCCTGCTCTGCTGCCCCAGGGCACGTGGCTCCACCTGCTGGACACCCATCATCCTCCTCACCTGCTCCCACCCTCTGCGAGATACAGCCTACCTTCGGCCCCTCCACACAGCACAGAGCTTCTCCTGATCTTTGCAGAAGGGGCCCCACCACCTGCTCCTCCTGCCTCACTCCCAGCGCTAGCGTAGCAGTTGTCACACGGCTGGAACCCAGCAGCTCTCAGCCGGGGATGACAGTGTCCTCCAGACGCTGGGCAATGTCTGAGACACTTCTGGTTGTCACACAGGTTGTTATTGGCATCCGGCAGGCAGAGGCCGGGGCTGCTCAGCATCCACCACTGTACAGGGCAGTGCCTGCCCCGCCCCCGCAAAGAACTCCCCAGCCCTGCGTGTGCACAGCACCGACCGAGGTGAAAAACCCTGCTACACAACACACACCACCTCCTCCAGAAAACAAAGCTCAGGCCGATCCTGTTTTTTATTTTTTGAGACAGGGTCTACTGTCATGCAGGCTGGAGTGCAATGGCTCGGTCATGGCTTACTCCTGCCTCAGCCTCCCAAATAGCCGGAACTACAGTCACGCACCTCCACGCCTGGTTATTTTTTATTTTTTTGGTAGAAATGGGGTCTCACTCTGTTACCCAGGGTGGTCTCAAACTCCTAGGCTCAAGTGACCTCCTGTCTTGGTCTCCAAAAGCATTGGAATTATAGATGTGAGCCACTGTACCTGGCCTGATTCTTTTTCACTGAGGCAAGGAAATGTAACTGTAACACAGGAGCCTTGGTTTCAATTTGTTCTTTTTCCTAAGTTAATAAATATGCCCACAGCCCCGTAAGAAAGCATAACCCTGGCTGAGCATGGCGGCTCACGCCTGTAACCCCAGCACTTTGGGAGGCCGAGGCGGGTGGATCACTTGAGGTTAGGAGTTCGAGACCAGCCTGTACAAAACGGTGAAACCCTGTCTCTACTAAAAATACAACAGTTAGCTGGGTGTGGTGGCCCATGCCTATAATCCCAGCTACTTGGGAAGCTGGGGCAGGAGAATCGCTTGAACCTGGGAGGCGGAGGTTGCAGTGAGCCGAGATGGCACCAGTACACTCCAGCCTGGGTGACAGAGTGAGACTCCATCTCAAAAAAAAAAAAAAAAAAAAAAAGAAAGCCTAATGTCCTGGACTCTGCAGTGTCTTCACACACATCTGCCCAACACACACAGGGGTGACCATATCCCCACTGCTCTTGAGATCCACTGGGCGGGGACTGGGACCCAAGACCCCAGAGCAAAACAAAGCCAAAGTGGGGAGACCCGTGCCAGTGTTCCCACAGGCCCCGACAGGGGTGGGCCCCGGTGAGGAGGAGCGCCTCCCCCACCCCTCACCACAGGACAAGGGACCCTGGGCCACGCACCTGTCTCCTGCGGTGAGAGCCGCCAGCCTGGCCTCCCCGGGCTGAGGCTCCGAGGTGTCGTCCAAGATCCTCTGCATCTGCTGCTCCATCTCCCGGGGCTTCAGCAGCCGCCCGTCGTGGTAGAGCCAGACCTTGAAGTAGCGCCCTCGATGGTACACAACGATGTGCTTGCTGTCTCTCATGTGCTGGATGGTATCTGAGCCCACCACGGGTCAGAGACACAACAAGAGTCACAAGTTCAGCCCGGGCTGAGACCACCGTACTCTGACCGTTTAAAGGGCACTGGGTCGGCCGGGCGCAGTGGCTCAAGCCTGTAATCCCAGCACTTTGGGAGGCCGAGGTGGGTGGATCACGAGGTCAACAGATCGAGACCATCCTGGTCAACATGGTGAAACCCCATCTCTACTAAAAATTACAAAAAATTAGCTGGGCATGGTGGCACGTGCCTGTAATCCCAGCTACTCAGGAGGCTGAGGCAGGAGAATTGCCTGAACCCAGGGGGCGGAGGTTGCGGTGAGCCGAGATTGCGCCATTGCACTCCAGCCTGGGTAACAAGAGCGAAACTCCGTCTCAAAAAAAATAAATAAATAAATTTAAAAAAATAAATAAATAAAAATAAAGGGCACGGGGTCCCATTCTGTGTCCCTCCAGGCAGCCTCAGGAGCCTATTCCTCAAGATATTTTAAATGATGAAGGCCAGCACGGAGCCAAGGCTCTGGATCAGACAGGCCTGACTTCTTTGCTCAGCTTGGTCACTCATTAGGTTACAACCTCAAACACATCACCCGAGGCCGGGCACGATGGCTCACGCTTGTAGTCCCAGCACTTTGGGAGGCCCAGGTGAGCAGATCATTTGAGCTCAGGAGTTCGAGACCAGCCTGGCCAACATGATGAAACCTCGCCTCTACTAAAAATACAAAATTTAGCTGGGTGTGGTGGCAGGTGCCTGTAGTCCCAGCTACTCGGGTGGAACACAAATCTGCCTTCCCGAGCATGTGCCCAGTGTGCTCCACCACAAACCCTGCCTGTGAGCAAATGCCCCTGAAGAATCAGATGAAGAAACAGGTATATTTAAGCAGACCCAGAAAAAAAACCTCTCAGCTGGGCATGACTCACGCCTGTAATCCCAGCACTCCTGGAGGCTGAAGCGGGCGGATCACTTGAGTCCAGGAGTTTGAGAGCAGCCTGGGCAAGACTCACGCCTGTAATCCCAGCACTCCTGGAGGCTGAAGCGGGCGGATCACTTGAGTCCAGGAGTTTGAGAGCAGCCTGGGCAACACGACAAAACCTCATCGTTATAAAAAATGCAAAAATTAGCCGGGTATTGTGGCATGTGCCTGTGGTCACAGCTACTGGGGAGGCTAAGATGGGAGGATCCCTTGAGTTCAGGAGGTGGAGGCTGAAGTGAGCTGTGATCATGTCACTGCACTCCAGCCTGGGTAGCAGAGAGAGACCTCATCTCAAAAAAGGTAAAACGCTATATAGGACAATCGATGGTCTTCAGCCAAAGAGAAATTAAGACCTGGAAGTAAGAGTCCAGGCCTAATAAAGACGAAGGAAATTCAGCAGAAGGAATCTGCTATTACAGCCTATAGTCTCAGGAAAGCAGCAAAACACAATGTGGCCCCTCTGACGCTCCCTTTGACAGCTCCCAATTCCGAGCACAGGGATGGGAAGTGCCCAGTCCCCAGGGAGCCCGGCGAAGCCTCACTCACCTGTCTCCTCTCCTGGGATCCGGGAGGTATTAAACATCCGCTCCCACTGAGCCGAGCAGAGGGGAATCGTGGACCCCAAAAGGCGAATCTGTAACAGAAACGTATTTCAAGCCAACAGCGAACGTCCCACAGAACGAAAGCAGCAAGACCACGGATGGAAACGCCGAGTGCATTTTCCACACAAGTGGCTTGTTTTGACTTCATCTTTCCCAGTGGCTCCCTGGAATGGCTTCTTGGGGGGCTTGTTAAACCATGCCGGGGTGCAACTTCCTGTGTGGCTCAATACTAAGTAACACAGCCCAATCGATTATTTATTTATTTTATTTTTTTGGGATGGAGTCTCGCTCTGATGCCTAGCCTGGAGTGCACTGGCGCGACCTCGGCTCACTGCAACCTCTGCCTCCTGGGTTCAAGTGATTCTCCTGCCTCAGCCTCCTGAGTAGCTGGGAATACAGATGCGTGCCACCATGCCCAGCTAATTTTTGTATTTTTAGTAGAGACAGGGTTCTACCATGTTAGCCAGGATGGTCTCAATCTCCTGACCTTGTGATCTGCCTGCCTCGGCCTCCCAAAGTGCTGGGATTACAGGTGTGAGCCACCGCGCCCGGCCTAATCGATGATTTAACTGACACTTAAAACCAAAGAACTATTTAAGGAAGAAATGTTTTGTTTCTCACAAGCAACTCACCAGCCTTGTGAGAACTAATTATTAGTTCAAAAACAACCAGGGCTTCTCTGAAGGGCAGATTACAGAACTAAAGTACCACAGACATATATTCATTTAGGAGACACAAGGAGAATTACATCTCAAAATAATTAGGCTGGGTGAAAGAAGCCAGAATTCAGAAAAAACAGTGTATACCGTAAAATTCCACTTACATAAAGCTTTGGAAATTTCAAACTAATCTAGAGTGACGGATAGTAGACCGGGGCTCCAGGACCAGGTGGGAGGGAGAAGTGACAAAGGGCGGAGGGGAATTTGAGGGTGACCGATGTGTTTGCCGTCCTAGCCGCGGTGATGACGGTTTCCTAAGTCCATCCATATATACGCATCAGAAGTTATCAAACTGTACACTTTATTTTATAACTTTTTTTTTGAGATGGAGTTTTGCTCTTGTCACCAAGGCTGGGGTGCAATGGCATGATCTTGGCTCACTGTAATCTCTGCCTCTTGGGTTCATGCGATTCTCCTGCCTCAGCCTCCCAAGTAGCAGGGATTACAGGCGCGTGCTACCGTGGCCGGCTAATTTTTTTATTTTAATAGAGATGGGGTTTCACCATGTTGGCCAGGCTGGTGTTGAACTCCTGACCACAGCTGATCCACCGGACTCGGCCTCCCAAAGTGCTGGGATTACAGGCATGAGCCACTGTGCTCAGCCACAAACAGTATACTTTCAACATGTGCAATATGTCAACATGTACAGCTATACCTCTGTAAAGCTGTTTTACAAGAATTTTTTAAAGCAGTGTGTTTGCCTACTGGTTTGATTTCCTCCCGGTCCAGTTTGCGCCTGTACAGCAGGATGGCGTGGATGGCATTGCCCGCTCTTGCTGCCTGAATGTGAGTCGGAAGAACATACAGCAGATCCTGAAAAGTGAAAAGAATGACATGGAGAGAATCTGCACAGGGACTAAGCAAAGTTAAATCATCACAGCACACCCTGCCCACTGCAAAATGTTTCTAGATGTATCCAGTTACACCTGCAGTGCTACAAATATACTTTGTTAATGTTTGAGGAGAACATATGTCTGCCCAAATTCTTGGGCTATTAAAGATAAGTATTTGCACGAAATAGTTTCACATAACAGAGTAAAGAAAGCAAAAATTAGTCAGGGAGCAATGAGACGATGAAGAGGTTTTCTGAACTAGACAGAACGAAATAATTGTTTCTTTTTTTTTTTTTTTTTTTTGAGACAGAGTTTCGCTCTTGTTACCCAGGCTGGAGTACAATGGTGCGAACTCCGCTCACTGCAACCTCTGCCTCCTGGGTTCAGGCAATTCTCCCGCCTCAGCCTCCTGAGTAGCTGGGATTACAGGCACACGCCACCATGCCCAGCTAATTTTTTGTATTTTTAGTAGAGACGGGGTTTCACCATGTTGACCAGGATGGTCTCGATCTCTTGACCTCGTGATCCACCGGCCTCGGCCTCCCAAAAGAAATAACTGTTTCTGTAGAGCCGGGCCTGCAACTTTCTAAGTTCTCAGACACTGCTCCAAACGTCTACGTTTTCCACAACTGGAGGAAGGGCCAAGGGAGACAGGCCGACCCTGCGATTGGAAGTCTGTGTGCATCCCCCGTCCCCAGTGATGCAGAAAGTGCCTGTTTGTAGGAAATGAACAAGGCCTCCCAGCGGGAAGGGCGTCCGATAAACAGCTCACTTCAAATAGAGCAGGAAAAGACGTTCTACAGACTAGCATGACAGTTTTTCTTTCAGTTTGAGATATTTCAGATGGGAAAAAAAAAGTTAAGAGAAAAAGGGAAATTCTGAAACAAAGAAAAACAAAAAAAGCAAATGATAGGCCGGGTGTGGTGGCTCACCACACCAGAAATCCCAGCACTTTGGGAGGCCAAGGCGCACGGATCACCTGAGGTGGGGAGTTTGAGACCAGCCTGACCAATATGGCAAAACCCCGTCTCTACTAAAAACTACAATAATTAGGCGGGCATGGTGGCAATTGCCTGTAATCCTAGGTACTTGGGAGGCTGAGGCAGGGGAATTGCTGGAACGGGAGGCTGCAGTGAGCGGAATCATGCCACTGCACTCTAGACTTGGCAACAGAGCGAGACTCCATCTCAAAAAAAGAAAAAAGTAAATGATGAAGACAAAATAAACGAGGGGAAAAACAGAAAGTGTTCAAGTCCTTGATGGTGGCATAAAAAAAAAAAAAAGAAAGGGGCCGGGCGCAGTGGCTCACACGTGTAATCCCATCACTTTGGGAGGCCGAGGCAGGTGGATCACGAGGTCAAGAGATCGAGATCATCCTGGTCAACATGGTGAAACCCCGTCTCTACTAAAAATACAAAAAATTAGCTGGGCATGGTGGCGCGTGCCTGTAATCCCAGCTACTCAGGAGGCTGAGGCGGGAGAATTGCCTGAACCCAGGAGGCGGAGGTTGCGGTGAGCCGAGATCGAGCCATTGCACTTCAGCCTGGGTAATGAGCGAAACTTCATCTCAAAAAAAAAAAAAAAAAGAAAGAAAGAAGTGAAGGAATAGAAGGAAAAGGAAAGAGAATTCTATTTGCCACTTAATAAACCAGTGGTTGAGAACCCAGAGTGAGGGGTCTTCTAACCATCCATGCTTTCAAAGACAAAGCCCAGGAAACGTGAAACTACCCTGGATGCACACCCCTCTGGCGTCTCGGGAAACAGAAGGGGGCAGCACAGTGCGTCGGTGGCAGGGTCTTTGCTGAACCACTGTCCCTGAGCCCTAGGGTTCTGCAGGGATCTTAAGGCCACTGTGACACTAAGTTCCAGTGTTAAGTCATAAAAACAGCAGGACAGTCTGGGCAATGGCAGCTCACGCCTGTAATTCCAGCACTCAGGGAGGCTGAGGCAGGCAGATCACCTGAGGTCAGGAGTTTGAGACCAGCCTGGCCAACAACATGGTGAAACCCCGTCTCTATTAAAAATACAAACATCAGCCAGGCGTGGTGGCGGGCACCTGTAATCCCAGCTACTTGGGAGGCTGAGGCAGGAGAATCACTTGAACGCAGGAGGCGGAGGCTGCAGTGAGCCGTGATGGTGCCATTGCACTCCAGCCTGGGTGATAAGAGAAAAGCTCTGTCTCAAAAACAAAACACAACAAAAACAAAAAAACAGCGGGACAGGTACAGCGCAGTGAGGAATTACTGCTTGCCACAAACTTACTTTTGCAAGCCAAACCCCTCTGCAGAAGCAGAGCACCCTGGGCTGCTAGACTGATACTGAAGGGCACTCACAGGCTTCTCCACCCTGGAAGCAGGACAGGGAGGAGCAGGAGCCAATCCCCGGAGCTTTCCGAGGCCACCCACAGGCCTGTGAAGATGCCACTTCTGTGGACAGACGCAGCACCCCACCGCCCCCCCGCAAACAGCCGGCCGGGCTGGGGGACTCACCATGGCGTAGTAGTTGCTGTTCACCATGAGCGGCCCTCGTCCCCGGAGGTAGATGTACTCCTCCCACCAGTCACTCACCTAGTGGGCACAAACACCAGACAAACCCGCAGGCTCAGTGGGCCAGGCAGGCCCCCCGGCAGCTGCCCAGAGCCACGGGAAGGGCAGGCAGTGCTTTTGGCAGACATTTCCGCGTCTGACGGGTCCCATTCCAGAACAGGGAATGCAGTCCTAATGAGATGGAATGCGACACCATGGGAAACGCAAAGTGTTCCTTTAAGTTGAGACAGGCAGAAAGAAGGTAGTCACCTTCATTTTGTAGATGGTCAAAAGGGAAAAAAAAAAAAGGCCGAAGTGGGAGGATTGCTTGAGGCCAGGAGTTTGAGACCAGGCTAGGCAACATAGCAAGGCTCTAGCTCTATGTTAAAAATAATAAAATAAAAATAAAAATAGTTTTTAAACACTAATTGGAAAGTCAATCATAAATGTTTGACTGCTAACAAGTTTTAAAAACTAATACTGTGGGCTGGGCACGGTGACTCACAGCTGTAATCTCAGTACTTTGGGAGGCTGAGGCAGGAGGGTCACTTGATGCCAGGAGTTTGAAGCCAGCCTGGGCAACGGAGCAAGGTTCCACCTCTACAAAACAATTTAAGAAATCAGCCAGGTGTGGTGGCTCATGCCTGTAGACTCAGCTACTTGGGAGGATGAGGCAGGAGGGTCACTTGAGCCCAGGAGTTCAAGGCGACAGTGAGCTACGATCCTGCCACTGCATTCCAGCCTGGGCAACAGAGCAAGACCCCTTCTCAAACCAAACAGAGACAAAGGCCAGGTGCAGCGACTCATGCCTGTAATCCCAGCACTTTGGGAGACCGAGGCAGGCTGAGCACTTCAGCTCAGGAGTTCCAGACCTGCCTGGCCAAAATGATGAAATCCCACTTCTATTAAAAATACAAAGATTAGCTGGGCATGGTGGCAGGCGCCTGTAATCCCAGCTACACAGGAGGTTGAGACAGGAAAGTTGCTTGAACTCGGGAGGTGGAGATTGCAGCCTGGGTGACAGAGCGAGACTCCCTCTCAAACAAAACACAACAACAAAACACAACAAAACAAAACAAAACAAAACAAAACGTTATGTGAAATTGCTCCAGAGACTGCTTCTCATCTTCCTGCTTCCCAGGTCTCCTGAAGAAGCCACCCTCTCAGTCCACGGCACTAACCTGGCATTCCGCGGGTGTTATCTCTGTTCCTTGGCCCCTGCGTCCTAAGGCCACCCAAAGCCAGTCCCCCCAACCACCTCCCAGCTGCTGTGGACCCAGGGATCGCTTCCTTTCCAGCTTTGTGCTGAAACACATGTACGTACAGAACAGTGCCCATGCAAGCGTGTCGTGTGCAGCAGAGAACTGCTATTTACAAATCCAGCATACCTGTGCGACCAGCACAGAAGGAAAACAGAACATGCCCAGCCCCCCTCGAGAGACCCCTCCAGGCCCTGCCCATCCACCCACAATGCGACTTCTAGCACCACCTACTGGTTCTGTCAGGGTCACTTTGGACACCTTCTCTCCCGTGTTAGCTGTTCCTCAAAGCTAGACTCCTTCCCTTGCTTCATCTGCCAGAGGCCTGCTCTTGCCCTCCCAGCACGTGGAAGCCCACCTGTCTCTTGGCACCCAGGGCGACTGCTAAGACGCTTCGTTGGAGGGGATGCTCCTGGGACCACCGAGCCGCCCTCAACCCCAGGGAGGGGCGATCAGCACTACCCTATCCCACACCATCCCTGCATCCACCAGCAAGCTCGGGAAGGATGCCCTTGGAGCCAAGAGAAGCCAAAGAGAAGGACAGGAACGGGTCTCTGGGGCAGCCCGGCACCACTGCAGGAGAAACAGCTCACAGGAGGACTCCCGGGGAAGAGGGAGAGGGCTCCCGTGTGCAAAACACAGCATCGTGCCGGTGCACCTGCACTCACGGTAAACTGTTCCTGTATGCTGTGCGCGGTGGCTCATGCTTGTAATCCCAGCACTTTGGGAGGCCAGGTGAGAGGATCACATGAGCCCAGGAGTTTGACCAGTCTAGGCAACACAGTGACACCCTGTCTCTACAAAAAAAATCCCCAAACCAAGAAACTGTCACTGTCACTATACATCAGTCCTAACACACACACACCCCACTCTGCACGCAGGTAAAACCATCGCCGAAACTTCCTAAGGTGTGATTCTGGCTAATCAAAACTGTTATCCCCGCCCCTCAGAATTAGCATCTTCATACAGGAAAATTTCATCGAGAACAACTGTGTATACAGACTTACGTAATTTGTAGCCCACCAGGATTTCAACTTCAGATACCACTGTAATTTTGGTCCAAGACTGACAGCAAAATCTTGAGCAAGTGCCGTCATCCGTTTGAAGTCCTCTTCCTTCATGAGAGGCCTCACAGATTCTAGATACTGAGATTGTCAGAGGAAAAAAATCACCCAAGTTAAAACACATTAATCAACGTCTACGGTTGCCTCACCTGAGCCTTAGGAAAAGTTCTAACACATTGAAAGGGTTTTAGGCTGGGCATGGTGGCTCATGCTTATAACCCCTGAACTTTGGGAGGCTGAGGCCAGTGGATCGCTTGAGCTCAGGAGTTCAAGACCAGCCTGGGCAACAGAGTGGAACCCCATCTCTGCAAAAAATTACAAAAATTAGCTGGGGGCAGTGGCACACGTCTGTGGTCCCAGCTACTTGGAAGGTTGAGGTGGGAGGATCACTTGGGCCCAGGAGTTTGAAAGTGCAGTGAGCCAGGATCACACCACTGCACGCCAGCCTGGGCGAGATGCTGTCTCCCCCCCGCAACGCACAAAACTTAACACTGTTGCCAACCCCACAATTTGTCATGGAATATTTTAATCCGACAAGTTGTCAGCAGTAAAAAATGAAGGCTTGGTGCAACAGTAATCTCGCTAGGGCCCCTCCCTGTATGTTGAAAGGTAAGATCCCACTCCCTTAAAAGGACCAGTTGTGGCTGGGCATGGTGGCTCACACCTGTAACCTCAGTAGTTTGGGAGGACTGCTTGGGCCCAGGAGTTCAAGACCAGCCTGGACAACATGGCAAGACCCCCGTCTCTCCAAAAAACTAGTTGCAGGCATACTGGTCCCAGCTATTTGGAAGGCTAAGGCAGGAGGATCACTCGGGCCCAGGAATTCGAGACTGCAGTGAGCTAGACAGCGCCACTGCCTTCCAGCCTGGGTGAGAGAGTGAGACTGTCTCCACAGAAAAGTGGGGGGGGGAGGGCGCAGCTGTCAAGTATCTTGAGGCCTATTCAAAGTAAATGCCCGTGAATGAGACAGAAAATCATTTTCTGAGTGTGCTGAAGTGGAACCCTCGGATACACAACACAGATGGAGGTCACTGAAGGTCGAGTGTCTCACCCTCCCCACATCCTGCCAGCGGAACAGGGGCCGCCATCAGCCCTGACTGGCAAGCCTGGGCACAGAAGAGCAGAGATGGGGAGGGCCAGGCGCAGCGGCTCACGTCTGTAATCCTAGCACTTTGGGAGGCCAAGGTGGGTGGATCATTTGAGATCAGGAGTTCAAGACCAGCCTGGCCAATATAGTGAAATCCCGTCTCTACTAAAAATACAAAAATTAGCCAGGCATGGTGGCATGTACCTGTAATCCCAGCTACTCGGGAGGCTGAGGCAGAACGCTTGAACCAGGGAGGTGGAGGTTGCAGTGAGCTGAGATTGCGCCACTGCACTCCAGCCTGGGTGACAGAGGGAGAGTCCCTCTCAAAAAATAAAATAAAATGAAATAAGGCCAGGCACGGTGGCTCACGCCCGTAATCTCAGCACTTTGGGAGGCTGAGGCGGGTGGATCATAAGGTCAGGAGATGGAGACCATCCCGACCAACATGGTGAAACCCTATCTTTAAAATAATAATAAATAAAATAAAATAAAACTTTAAAAAATGCACTGAGCAGTTTCTCTATGAAACACAATACTTTTTAAAAAACATCTAAGATGCAGCAGTGATGTGTTGGAAGAAAAAAAGAAACACTTCCTATGAGAACGCTACCAGGCGCCCAGCTGAAGGCTCCTATAGCCCAATGGTGGAGGCCTAGTTCATCATAACTAAGACCTAAGGCTTCATCCACAGACGCCTGGCGTTTCCGCGTGAGGCCTAAGCCATGCCTACCCTGTTCACAGTGTCTTCGACAGCCGGGACCGGCAGGCGGGGCAGCGACGTCTGGAAGCTGTACAACATGGGCTTTTGGCCTGAAAAGAGCTTGACCATACCCTGAAGAGAGAGAATGCTACTGTCAGCCTATCACCACACCCCCCTGAACGCACCTGTTCTGGTCTGAGCTTGGAAGCTAAGCAGGGTCGGGCCTGGTTAGTACTTGGATGGGAGCATTCCATTTTCAAAGACAAGGCTATGTTAAAGGGGTCTGAAGCCACTTTTCCAGGGCGCACACGTGCCAACCACTTATGGATTTTCTGTGTTGATTTATTTTTCATCTGATCTGTCTTCTACCCGCCACCATGCCTACAGATTCTAGCAAACAAGCATGTAACCCTCCCCCCACTGCCAATAAAAACCTGGGCAATATGGCAAAACCCCAACTCTACAAAAAATGCAAAAACTTAGCCAGGCGTGGTGCCATGTGCTTGATGTTCCAGCTGCTTGGGAGGCTGAGATAAAAGGATTGATTGAGCCTGGGAGGTGGATGCTGCAGTGAGCCGTGATCACACCACTGTACTCCAGCCTGGGCGACATAGTGAGACCCTATCTCAAAAAGCAAAACAAAAGCAAACAAACAGAAAAACCGGGTGGAATCACAGCCAAGCCTGATGGAGGCTGTGGGATGCCGCTGCCAGCGTCGTGGCTGGCCAGGCCCCTGACTGTGTGCTTCTGCCGCTAAGGTAAGTCTCACCCCACCTCCTTTTGCAAGGTGCTTCATTTCAGGACTGGTTCCAGGAACAGGGAGCTGGGTCTAAGTGCGTGTCCCTGAGCCAAGCCAGGAAAGTAGTGTCTTTCCTCCAGTCCCTGCCAAGCCTCCCGGAGGGCACATTTGTGGCCCTTGGTTTTAGCCTGGATGATCAAGCCTGATAATAACCAGTCACCTCAATGTCAACCAAAACAAAGGAAGTCCTCGACCCTGGCGACGAGTCTGGTGCCGAAGGGTGTTGGGACTCAGCTGAACCTCGGCTTTGAACCCACAGGAGGGAGCGCCCTTTGGCCAGCTTCGCCAAGCGTGGAAGCCACCCGAGTCTTCTAGGTGCTAAATTCTGCTTCTCTACAAATCAGACATTTTACATCCAAATGGTAGAAAATTGATTTGGGAGAAAAAATTTTTTTGGCCAGACGTGGTGGCTGGCACCTGTAATCCCAGCACTTTGGGAGGCCGACTCAGGTAGATCATTCAGTCAGAAGATCGAGACCATCCTGGCCAGCATGGCAAAACCTCGTCTCTATTAAAAATACAAAAAATTAGCCAGGCGTGGTGCTGTGTGCCTGTGGTCCCAGCTATTCAGGAAGCTGAGGCGGGAGAATCACTTGAACCCAGGAGGTGGAGGAGCTGAAATCGCACCACTGCACCCCAGCCTGGGCAACAGAGCGAGACTCTATCTAAAAAAAAAAAAACAAAAAAAACGTGTTTGGGAAAGAGCAGAGCCTGGGTGTATGGTGGGCACTGCAGTGACTCCCTCACTTCCCTTACAAGCAGGCTCCCCAAGGTTGGGAAAGCAGCCCAGCCCAGGCAGGTACCACTGCGGGGCCACCTCGAGGCAACTGAGCAGAAGAGCCCCGGAGCCAAGTCGGGGCAGACGAGAAAGCAAAGCAGACACAAGGCTTCATACACACTGGCGGAGCCATGAAGCAGCCCCATTCAAGAAAGATTCTGCAGAAAATTTTCTCCTGATCACTTGGTCCATTAGAACCATTTAGACCACTTGGCAAGACAGGGGTGAAAAAAGCAGATGCTTCTTTACACATGTCCAGCCCCAAAGACCCAGGTTGGGCTTGAGGTGCTGAGCGAAGCCCAAGGCCCAGGGCCACGACTACACTGGGCAGATAGCACATGGGGCACACGCCAGTTCGGGGGCCTGAAGGGGTCACAAGGGTCTGAGACCCTGGGGGGGGTCCCCAAAAGTTCAGAGATGATGCCCACCTTGGAGGGCTTATTATCAGAACACCTAAGCCCATAAATATATGTGTGTGTGTATATATATGTGTACATACACATATATGCGTGTATATATACATATATACACATATACGTGCATGTATATACATACATACACATAAACATGTGTGCGTATATATACATACACACATATACACATACGTGTGTATATACACATAAACATGTGTGTATATATACGTACACACACATAAACATACGTGTGTATATATACGTACACACATAAACATATACTTGTATATATACACGTACATACACATATACACGCATATACACATACGTATGTGTATGTATACATACACATAAACATATACGTGTGTGTATATATATGTACTACACATAAACATATACGCGTGTGTGTATATATACGTACATACACATAAATATAGACGTGTGTGTATATATGTACTACACATAAACATAGACGTGTGTGTATATATGTACTACACATAAACAGACGTGTGTGTGTATATATATACGTACACACACATAAACATATACGTGTATATATACACGTACATACACATAAACATAGACGTGTGTGTATATATATATACGTACATACACATAAACATAGACATGTGTGTATATATATGTACTACACATAAACACAGACGTGTGTGTATATATGTACTACACATAAACATATACGCGTGTGTATATATATGTACTACACATAAACATAGATGTGTGTGTGTATATATGTACTACACATAAACATATACGTGTGTATATATACGTACATACACATAAACATATACGCGTGTGTGTATATATACATACATACACATAAACATAGACGTGTGTGTATATATATACATATATATACATAAACATAGATGTGTGTGTATATATAGGTACATACACATAAACATATACACATGTGTGTATATATACATACATACACATAAACATAGACGTGTGTGTATATATATACATATATATACATAAACATAGACGTGTGTGTGTATATACGTACATACACATAAACATAGACGTGTGTGTAAATATGTACATACACTGGCCATCTGCCCAGTGTAGTTGTGGCCCTGGGCCTTGGGCTTTGCTCAGCACTTCAAGTCCAACCTGGGTCTCTGGGGCCAGACATGTGTAAAGAAATATACATGTACACACATATATTTATGGGCTTAGATATATACATATATATATATTTTGAAACTGTGTCTAGCCCTGTTGCCCAGGTTGGAGTGCAGTGGCGTAATCACAGCTCACTGCAGCCTTGACCTCCTGGGCTCAAGCGATCCTCCCACCTCAGCCTCTCGAGCAGCTAAGATTACAGGCATGCATCACCATGCCTGGCTAATTTGCCTGGCTAATTTTTGTATTTTTAGTAGAGATGGGGCTTCGCCATGTTGCCTAGGCTGGTCTCTAGCTCCTGAGCTCAAGTGGTTCACCCAGCTTCGCCTCCAAAAGTACTAGGATTATAGGCAGGAGCCACTGTGCCTGGCTCCCATAAAAACATTGAAATGGAGGCCAGGTGTGATGGCTCACACCTGTAATCCCAGTACTTTGGAAGGCTGAGGTGGGCAGATCTCTTGAGCTCAGGAGTTTGAGACCAGCGTGGCCAACATGGTGAAACTCCGTCTCTATTGAAAAATGCAAAAATTGGCCGGGCGCGGTGGCTCACGCCTGTAATCCTAGCACTTTGGGAGGCCGAGGTGAGTGGATCACCTGAGGTCAGGAATTCAAGACCAGCCTGGCCATGTTGGTGAAACCCCATCTTTAAAAAAAAAATTTTTTTTTAAGTGCAAAAATTAGCCAGACGTGGTGTGTGCTGATAGTCCCAGCTACTTGGGAGTCTGAGGTGGCAAAAATCACTTGAGCCCAGGAGGTCGAGGCTGCAGTGAGCTATGATTGTGCCCCTGCACTCCAGCCTGGGCAACAGAGAAAGACCCTGTTTCAAAAAGAAAAAAAAAAGCCATTCGGGGTGGCTCATGCCTGTAATCCCAGCACTTTGGGAGGCCGATGTGCGTGGATCACCTGATGTCAGGCATGCAAGACCAGCCTGACCAACACGGTGAAACCCCGTCTCTACTAAAAATACAGAATTAGCTGAGCGTGGTGCGTGCCTATAGTCCCAGCAACTTGGGAGGCAGAGGCAGAATTGCTTGAACCTGGGAAATGGAGGTTACAGTGAGCTGAGATCATGCCATTGCACTTCAGCCTGGACAACAAGAGCAAAACTCTGTCTCAAAAAATAAATAAAACAAAAGAAAAAGAAAAAAAACCATTGAAATCATGAAATTTGGACTAGCATCCACATACATGTCAAAGCCATTACCTTAAATAAGGAACCCTTGGTTAAGGGCCAAAGCAAGCCGAGGGAACATTCCGGAAGCTAAGTCTGAGTCATGGGAGCCTGCCAGAGGGGTGAGCTAAGGTAACCATTTAATGCCTGACAACAGGTGAGTCAAGAACACTCCAAGGAACCGGACAGACAGCACTTCTATCTGATCAATGACCTGATTACAACCCCGGGAGGCCTCAGTATAAAGCGCCGTAGGTCTCACTAATGTCACAAAAGGCCCCCACTTTTGCATCATGGTGACTCAAACCTCTCTAGCCATTAGAGGCTGAGGTCCACGTCACCAACCAACCATCGAGGGAGAAAAGGTCCCCAAGGGCGTGCTTCATCGCAAAGCCCAAACCGTCCACCCCACCCCACAGCCAGAGGGACGTGCAATTACCATCCAGATCTTGGTGGCGCGACTCATTTTGCCATGCTCAGCGAACATCCACCCGTGGTATGAGAGCAGCACTTTCAGGGAGAAGCGCATGGTGACGATGAGGGCCACCCACAGCCCGGTGCCAAACAGCACGCCGCTGACCACGTTCTTCGTCTGGCTGGACATGCAGTCGCTGTGAAGGGAGACCGAGACAAGGGAGGCTGTACACGTGGCCACATGGTGCCACCCACGCCACTGATACCACCGACAGACACCGCGTGCTGCAGGGCCCAGCAGCCTGCCCCAGGTAGAGCCAGGAAAGTCAGAGGGAGAGCACCCGCATGAACCGAGCTCTCAAAACACTCACAGGACTCTCCTCCTTGCCCCAAAACCAATCATGCTGAAAAGTAGCTGGCAGACCTGAATGCTGGGGGCAGGCCTGTCTGCTCTCTTCCTGGAGTCCCTTCGGCCTCCTGGCCAGGCACGGTGGCACAAGTCTATAATCCTAGCACTTTGGGAGGCCGAGATGGGTGGATCGCTCGAGTCCAGGAGTTCGAGACCAGCCTGGGCTACATGGGCCAAACCCCATCAATACAAAAATAAAATTCGAAAAAGAAAACAAAGCTCGATGTGCTTTGTTGACCTCGAAACCAACCAGGGCTACTTTGTGTCATCTGGGAAGAGATACAGCTTCCTCCAGGAACCTCAGAACTGACAGCAGAGGGGATGGTGAGGCCAGGACCCAGCCACTGTGCGCACCACGCCCTGCCGACCTGTGCCTCCCCAGCAGGTGCGAAGGAAATGCTGCGCCACTTTCTTCCGCACTTTGTGATTTTTTTTCTCTCAAACTTACTTTAGATGTAATCGCCATCTCGGATCATTTGTTACAACTATTAGCTCCAGTATTTACCTCAGAAGAGCTTGTTTGTGACTTGTGCATATCTAACACAAGTAAAGAAACAGACCATGTAAACTGGTCATGTAAATAGTCCACTTAGATACAGGAAATGTTTTTATTTGTGAAGGAAAGCAGTATATTTAATGGTAGAGATGGGACTTTAAAAATGAGACGAAATGCAGCTTTTTCTCTCTTTTTTTTTTTTGAGATGGAGTCTCATTCTGTTGCCCAGGCTGGAGTGCAGTGGCGCAATCTCGGCTCACTGCAACCTCCGCCTTCCGGGTTCAAGCAATTCTTCCGCTTCGGCCTCCCAAGTAGCTGGGATTGCAGGTGCGTGCCACCACATCCAGCTAATTTTTGTATTTTTTGTACAGACGAGGTCTCACCATATTGCCCAGGCTGGTCTCAAACTCCTGACCTCAGGTGATCTACCCGCCGCGGCCTCCCAAAGTGCTGGGATTACAGGCGTCAGCACCGCACCTGGCTAGAAATGCAGCTACTTTGTGGTTTGTTTTAGTTTTGGTTGTTTGGGGAACTGCAAAATATTTTTAAAATAAAAACTATTTATGCATGCTTCGAATGATTAAAACACCTATATATATAACCTAAAGGTATCTCCAATATTTGAAAAGCACTAATTTAGCCAGGTACAGTGGCGCAAATATATAATCCTAGCACTTTAGGAGGCCATGATGGGTGGATCACTTGAGTCCATGAGTTCAAGACCAGCCTGGGCAACATGGCCAAACCCCATCAGTACAAAAATAAGATTTAAAAAAGAAAACAAAATAATTCAAAATAAGAAATAAAAAAAAAGAAAACCAATAATTTAAGATTGCCCAGTATTTAAGTGACACAAACAAATTATCTTCAAGGTTAAGTACTCTTGCTTCAAAACGTGTTGTCTTTCTATAACCCATCAAATCTAGCACTCGAGTTTAACGGGAGTCTCTACTTGAAACCTGTCTGCTTTTTTCTGGTCATCTAACCTACAAGCGAACTTGGGTTTAGGGATTTAAGGAGCTATCTTTTAGATAATCTGCATTTTAGATTACCAAAGGACAAAGATCTATATACTTACTTGATTTACAAAAATAAAAAAATATTTTAGTATAAACAAATAAATGACACATTCGAGATTTTTAAAATATAGACATGTAGGCACTTAGATAAAAAACATCAGCAAAAAGCTTTCTTTTTTTTCTTTTGTAAGGAGAATGAAAGAACATGCTCCTTACCAGTCTGTTGGGGACAGACTTAGGGACAACACATGACATGTCTGACTCCACTTTTCTTCTTTTCTTTTGTTTTTTTTAAGAGATGGGGGTCTCACTATGTTGCTTAGGCTGATCTTGAACTCCTGGGCTCAAGCAATCCTCTTGCCTTGGCCTCCCAAAGACAGGCCACCATGCCCAGCCTGACTCCACAATTGAAGGCAGCAGCCCAGGGACACTGCAGTCCCCTCCAGGATGGCAGCTCTGGATCGGCCCATGAAGCTTGAAGACATTGGCCTTTAACCCCGCCCTTCTAAATTTAGGCCAGGCATGGCCCAGTTTACCAAAATAGGTTTAAGAGGGACAAAGAAACAAATCTTACAGAGACTCAGATTATTAAAGGCTTTAAATAGTCAACCCTTCTAAATATAATCCATTTTAAGAGGGAGCCTACACTAGAGAGTACATGAAAGATCTGGGCCAGGCACAGTGGCTCATGCCTGTAATCCCAGCACTCTGGGAGGATGAAGTGGGTGGATCACTTGAGGTCAGGAGTTCAAGACCAGCCTGGCCAACATGGTGAAACCGTGTCTCTACCAAAACTACAAAAATTGGTTGGCCATGGTGGTGCATGCCTGTAGTCCTAGGTACGCAAGAGGCTCAGGCAAGAAAATCACTTGACCCTGGGAGGAGGAGGTTGCAGTGAGCCGAGATCGCGCCACAGCACTCCAGCCTGGGCCACAGAGTGAGACTCTATCTCAATAAGAAAAAAAAGAGTCCTAGCATTCAGGAGCCTGAGGCAGGCAGACTGCCTGAGCTCAGGAGTTCGAGACCAGCCTGGGCAACATGATGAAACCCCGTCTCTACTAAAAATACAAAATATGGTAGCCAGGCGTGGTGGCATGTGCCGGCAATCCTAGCTACTTGGGAGGCTGAGGCAGGAGAATTGCTTGAACCTGGGAGGCAGAGGTGGCAGTGAGCTGAGATAGTGCCATTACACTCCAGCCTGGGTAACAAGAGCGAGACTCAGCTCAAAAAAAAAAAAAAAATCTTCACTGGGCCAGGCGTGGTGGCTCACGCCTATAATCCCAGCACTTTGGGAGGCTGAGGCGGTGGATCGCAAGGTCAAGAGATCGAGACCATCCTGGTCAACCAGGTGAAACGCCGTCTCTACTAAAAATACAAAAATTAGCTGGACATGGTGGCGCGTGCCTGTAATCCCAGCTACTCAGGAGGCTGAGGCAGGAGAATTGCCTGAACCCAGGAGGCGGAGGTTGCGGTGAGCCGAGATCGCGCCATCGCAGTCCAGCCCAGGTAACAAGAGTGAAACTTCGTCTCAAAAAAAAAAAAAAAAAAAAAAAAACAAACTTCATTATTCATTAACTCCACGAGAGAACAAAAAGTCCGTCGGAAGAGCTGCATACACAGGCTTGAAGGCAGCTGTCCACTGTGACCTCAAGGAAGGGAGCAGCCAGGACTGCTGGGAGCGCCCAGCTCTGCCAACTGCGTTCTAAGTGACAACGATGACGGCAGTTCCCAGGCAGATAAGAAACCTGGCAGGCATCCTGGCCAGGCATGCCTATAACATGACTGGGAGCTTTCATTCTGCCTCTTGCAGACACTTACAGAGGCCTGAGCCACCTCAAGGTTTCGAGCATTCGGCTGTACTCTCAATGACTCTGGAGGGTCCGGGGGCTTCCTGGAGAAGGAACAGGGTGTGGAGGGGTCCTAGGCAGACTCTGCAAAAAGGGGTTCAGGAATCAGGGCACCTGCTCAAGCTGCCCTCGGAAGAGTCAGACCATTAATCTGCTTAATCTTTTATTTCTAGTCATCCGAATCAAGGCCGGGCACGGTGGCTCGCATCTATTAATCCTAGCACTTCAGGAGGCTGAGGTGGGTGGATCACCGGAGGTCAATAGTTTGAGACCAACCTGGTCAACATGGTGAAACCTCATCTCTATGAAAAATACTAAAATTAGCCGGGCATGGTAGTGGGTACCTGTAGTCCCAGCTACTTGGGAGGCTGAGGCAGGAGAATCGCTTGAACCCAGGAGGCGGAGGTTGCAGTGAGCTAAGATCGCGCCACTGCACTCCAGCCTGGGCAACAGAGCAAAAACTCCATCCACCCCCCACCCAAAAACATCAAAGTCAGCCATTAACTGAGTGAGTTTTCGTTTATGTCACTTTTTCTGCCAGTTTATTTTCTTATTTCTTTCTGATCAAACAATATTTGCATGCAAACAACCTGGAGGCTGCGATTCTAAAGATCCAGAGCTTCGTTTTTCTAGCTGAGCCCTGACCCCAACATTGTGCCTTCCACCTGCAACTCCTGGCCCCCAAAACAAAGCCCAAATAGGAGGTGTTGGGGTTTATGATTCCTCTAGACCAAAAATGCCATTGGGGCAAACAAGCAGCATAGAAATCGAGCCAAACGCCTGGCATGGGCAGCAGGGATCCTTCCAAGACACCGTGGAACTTTCAGACCAGAAAGTAAAATGTGTGTCCAGGTGCAAGGGTCACAGCTGCACAGGGAAACTGAGTCTCCCTGCGTTCCACCGTCTGGAGGCTCGTGGCGATAAAGCAGCAGCGTTCACTTGCATTTGTCTCACGGAAGCTTCTGGGGCAGGGGATGGGGGACCTCAGGGGCACAGATTTCAGAGCTGGGCAGAACTTTCCCGCTCCCTCTTCCTGTGACTCGGGCAGATACTTGCACCTGTCTGAATGCTTCCTCACTGGTAAAAAGGACCCTAATGAGAGGTCACTGCAGTGCAGGGTCTGACTTTCCTGGATGGGAGTCTGGGCCATCTCCAGAACTAGATGGAATAACGGGCATCGCGGGTATGCAATACATATGTGCTATCAACAGCCAGCAGGTATTTGGAAAAAAAAAATAGCGGGGCCCAGTGGCTCACGCCTGTAATCCCAACATTTTGGGAGGCCAAGGTGGTCAGATCATGAGGTCAGCAGATCGAGACCATCCTGGCCAACATGGCGAAACCCCATCTCTACTAAAAATACAAAAATTAGCTGGGCATGGTGGCGCGTGCCTGTAATTCCAGCTACTCGGGAGGCTGAGGCAGGAAGAACCACTTGAACCCAGGAGGCGGAGGTTGCGGTGAGCCAAGACTACACCACTGCACATCAGCCTGGCGACAGAACAAGACTCCATCTCAAAAAAAGAAAAAAAAGGTTAGCCAGGCATGGTGGCCTGTAATCCCAGGAAGCTAAGGCAGGAGAATCGCTTGAATCTAGCAGGCAGAGGTTGCAGTGAGCCAAGACTGTGCCACTGCACTTCAACCTGACAACAGAATGAGACTCCGTCTCAAAAAAAAAAAAAAAAAAAAAGAAAGAAAGAAAGAAAAAGAACATGTGTTGCATGTTACCTCAGGTGTCTCTGGGCCTTATGTCTTTCTTGGTAGCAAGAGAGCCTGCTTTCAAACCTCCAGGAAAATCTAAACCCCTAGGGGTGGGAGTGATGGTGGAGGTCCCTTGGAGATTTCTAAACCAGCCTGACAGAGAGCTAAGTGGGGGAGGTCCCTGCAGAGGACCCTACAGCAGTCCGTTCAAGGGTCGCAGAACTCTGGGAAGAACTGACTCCAAGTACAAAGAAATGACCACATTGGGGAAATTCTGTGCCAGAGCCCTACCGTCCAGGCTAAGGGCGCTATCACTGTTGGCTATCCCCTGAGCCCTGACACCTTCTGAGGGGTGCCCCAGCACCACGACCACTCTTCTCGCCCTGATCTTCAGAGGAAGGGCTGCAGGGGACCGCAAACTCCTAGGGGACCTTAACGCCACCCAGGAAAATGGGAAGAAAGCTGACTTGAGAACAGCCTGGGGGCTTCACATCAAATCCAGAACAGTGACAATCACCACAATTGAAGAGACATAAAAACAGCAATAAAATCAGTAACTTCCGGGTGGGCGTGGTGGCTCACATCTCTAATCCCAGCACTTTGGGAGGATGAGGTGGGCAGATCACAAGGTCAGGAGTTCAAGACCAGGCTGCCCAGATGGTGAAACCCTGTCTCTACTAAAAATATAAAAATTAGCCTGGTGTGGTGGGTGGGGGGGGGGCACCTGTAACCCCAGCTACTCAGGAGGCTGAAGCCGGGAACTGCTTGAACCCAGGAGGCAGAGGTTGCAATGAGCCGAGATTGCGTCACTACCGTCCAGCTTGGGCGACAGAGAAAGACTCTGTCTCAAAACAAAAAACAAAAAAAACAAAATTGGTAACTTCCCAGACAACTGGAGATTTCACAGGATTACTTACGTCCTTTCCAGGGTCCGATTGATTTTTGCAATTATCCCTAATGAGGGGTCGATCTTGGCATACATCGTCGTCATCACGCCCACCACCACGATAAGCCAGCTGGAGGGGCTCGCCGGATACACGCCGGTGATGATGCCATTCTAAAGACAGACACACAGGCCGTGAGCGGCATCCCCGCACAGCCCCCGGGCAACGACACTCCATGGCCCCTGGCAGCAGGGATGCTGAACCGCCAGGCAGTGAGGACAGTGTGTCTGCAGCGTGTGTGCTGAGACACCACGCCCCACGCGCTGGGACGCTCCCCAGAGTTTACAACCTGCGGCTGTTCCAGGTTCCTCCCTTCCTCTGCTTCTGAGCCAAGACCCACCCTGAAACCTTCCCCGAGTGGACACCCTTGGCCATGAGAATCAGCTCAGGCACGAGTTTAGCTGGTGAAGGACGCCACTGAGCCACCATGAAGTCCCCTGCCCAGCCTGCTACTGTCTAGAATGTGCTGAGACCCCAGCTCCAAAACTGCTCCTCCTGCCGTCCCGTGTCAGAGGCTGCTGCACCCTGAAGATTTCACGGGAGACCTCACTCCATGTCTTTTGTTTGTTTGTTTTTTAGAGATGAGGTTTCACCATTTGATCAGGCTGGTCTCGATCTCCTGACCGCAGATGATCCGCCCACCTTAGCCTCCCAAAGTGCTAGGATTACAGGCATGAGCCACCGTGCCTACCCAGCACTCCGTGTCAAGAATTTGCTGTAAAATACTCCAGCCGGGAAAAAAAAAAAAGGATTACGTCGAACAAAATTGGTTGAAATGAGGAAGGGAATGGTGGGGTCATTAATTGATCTTCTTCACTCTTGAGTATGCTTGACGACTCCACTTTTAAAAAATTCTTACTAAAGCATCCTAATAAGATATTGATTTGGCCAAGATAATGGATTAAAAATGACTACAGCAGGCCGGGCGCAGTGGCTCACACCTGTAACCCCAGCACTTTGGGAGGCCGAGGCTGGTGGATCACTTGAGGTGAGGAGTGTGAAACCAGCCTGGCCAACACGGTGAAATCCTGTCTCCACTAAAAATACAAAAAAATAGCTGGGCTTTGTGGTAGTCCCAGCTACTCGGAGGCTGAGGCAGAAGAATCACTTGACCAGTGAGCTGAGATCACACCACTGCACTCCAACCTGGGTGACAGAGTGAGGCTCTGTCTCAAAAAAAAAAATTAGCCAGGCATGGTGGTGCGCACCTGTGGTCCCAGCTGCTTGGGAGGATGAGACAGGAGGATCGCCTGAGCCCAAGAGATTGAGGCTATAGTGAGTGAGGACCGTACCACTGCACTCTGCCCTGAGCAACCCTGTCCCCTGTCTCAAAAAAGGAAGGGGAGGGTAGGGGAGGGGAGGGGAGGATATTCGCATTGGGTTGAATATGATAGCCAAGCCTCTGCATCCATGTTTCTATTTTCCCAGATTCCAGGTGGAAAAATGCAGCTCTCAGCAAGTCCAGCTATTCAGCTCAGCTCTCCCCGTAGTGGTGCCTTCTCCACCACGGTGGACCACACCGGTGACCAGGCCAGGGAGACTAGATGTCACCCTAGTCTTATTTATCTGGGCCCAAGAACCCACCGGCTAAGCCCCAGGGACCCCTGTGCAGCTGTGCTGGCTGCCAGGGACCCACCTGCCTCTCTGCTGTCCCTGCTGCCACCTGCTCTGGAGGGCCAGGGGGGTGGACGGGGCTGGGGGGCGGGGGTTGGGGGGGCTGGGGGGCGGAGTGGCAGGGGGGCCTGGGGGCAGGGGGCTGGGGGGGTTGGGGGCGGAGTGGCGGGGGGGCATGGGGGCGGGGGGCTGGGGGGCACCTACTTTCAACTTGATGACATTTCATCTAGTTCGCATGTTTTCAAATATGCATCTATTCCTTCTTTAATGTTTAAAATAAATTACAATACATGGAAAAAGAAAACACTTATTTTAAAAAAAGAACAAAGTTCTACTTCTTTAGACAAACAGAGTTGAGAACATGCGGACTCAGCTGAGTCTGAACTTACGTGGAGCGTCTCTAATGTGTGGACGCTTTACCAACAAAGTACATACTACATCAACTTGCTGAAGTTTGGAAAAACTCCCTTTTTTTTTTTTGGAGACAAAGTCTTGCTCTGTTGCCCAGGCTGGAATGCGGTGGCTCAGTCATGGCTCACTGCAGTCTCTGCCTCCCAAACTCAAGTGATCCTCCCACCTCAGCCTCCTGAGTAGCTGGGACTACAGATGCATGCCACCATGCTGGCCTAATTTTTCTTTTTTTTTTTTTTTTTTGTAGAGACAGGGTCGCCGTGTTGCCCAGGCTGGTCTTAAACTCCTGAACTCAAGTGATCCGCCCACCTCGGCCTCCCAAAGTACAGGGATTACAGGTGTGAGCCACCGCACCCTGCCTGAAAAAAAATCTTTTTGAACAAGGTGCAAAGGATTCTGACTCAGAGGAGAAGACGTGAATTCTAGTCTTTACTCCGCCTTCTATTAAGTAGGTTGCCGGCCCTTTGACTGTCCACTTCCAGGCCTGCTTTAGAGCGTGCCAACTCACTCCACCTGCCTTACGGAACTGTTTCAGGCACCCAGTGAGCTAAAGTCTACCTGAAGGAGTCCCCCAGCCTTAAGCACCGTGGAAATAGGTAAGTCACATGGAATGAGCAGTCTGGAACACTCAGACCGCAACAGCTGCGGGAGCCCCGTTCGCAGGTATTAGGAGGCACACTGTGCCGGTTCCAGCACACGTCAGCAAACCTTGAATCTGATGAACCTCTTCTTCCAGGAGTGAAGTCCAGAGAGATAGATCTGCTTGAGGGCTTCATGGCTCAGCCGCAGGTCAATCCCGTCTGGAGTGACCGTGAACTGGAAGGCCACAGCTTGGTGAGCTTCTGCCATCTTCTGGGGTCACCTGTAAGCAGAAGGAGAAAATGTAACACAGTGGCACTTGTGACCAGACACTAAAAAAAAAAAAAAACTCCTCATACAGAAGTGCCATTCCTTCTGAATTTCAGTTTTTCCTCCCCACTTAACAGACTTAATAACTCTCGTCAACAGATCCAAGTCCATCACAGAGGGCACCCCCTCACCTGTCCACCGCTACACAGAAAATCACTGCTTCTGCTTAGGGGCCCAAGATGATCATCAGAAGCCAGGCCCAGGGCACTCCAACTCCTGCCCCTGGAAGTCCCCTGGACCCCGCCTCCAAGCCAGCATCCAGGCCACAACTGCCGTCGCAAAGCCCACGGCACTTCGGCAACTTGCACAGCACAGACAAATCTCAATCTCGCAGCCAGGCCCCTGGAGGCTGCCGTTAAAAGCCCAGAGTGTCCAGGAAGGAGCCCCCGACAGCCCTGGGCCCTGAACTTCAGTGGGGAGTGCACATCGAGCCCAAATGCCTATGCCTCTGGTGTCTGTGTAGCTGCTCTTTTTTTTTTTTTTTTTGAGATGAAGTTTCATTCTTGTTGCCCAAGCTGGAGTGCAATGGCCTGATCTCAGCTCACTGCAACCTCCATCTCCTGGGTTCAAGCAATTCTCCTACCTTGGCCTCCTGAGTAGCTGGGATTACAGGCATGCACCAACATGCCTGTCTAATTTTTTTCTATTTTGATTTTTTTTTTTTTTTTTTAGTAGAGACAGGGTTTCTCCATGTTGGTCAGGCTGGTCTTGAACCTCCAACCTCAGGTGATCCGCCCACCTGGGCCTCCCAAAGTGCTGGCACTACAAGTGTGAGCCACTGCACCCGGGCTGCATGGCTGCTCTTTTGAGAAACTGTTCTAGGGTTTTAGAAAGACCCACAAAGACTCCACAAGTCAGATGCACAGATGCCTCAAGAATGGCTGCTCGCAGACGAAGTGAGCCTCCTTCCTCGGGGGCAGCAGCTGAAGCAGAACATGCCCGGGCAGCCACAGGCTGGATGGATACCAGAGCCTGCATCCCAGACCCAAACACAGCCCCTTGGGACAGCATCCCCTGCCCACTGCAGAAAACTGCTCTGGGAAATCTGGTTCATTCTTCCTGTCCCCTTCACCCTGGCTCTGCTGCCTTCCTTCAGGCTCCTTGGCGCAGCCACTCAGCATGGCATTGCCCCCCATCCCCTCCTGGACCCCTGGGGCGGTGGCTCCTGCCCTTCTCACGGTGCCACCTCCACCTCCTCCCAGGCTGCCTGCCACAAAGTACTAAATGAATAAGAGAAGCTAAGAGGAAAAACTATCAAGTACCACAATAAAAATTTAAAAACTCACGTGTCTGTGTGTGGTGTGTGTGTGTAGGTGTATATGCGTGGTGTGTGTGCATATGTGTGTGCAGTGTGTGTGCTTGTGTGTGCCTCTTTGTGGTGTGTGTGTGCAAGTGGTGTGTGTGTAGGTGTATATGCATGGTGTGTGTGCTGTGTGTGCATGTGTGTGGTGTGTGTATGTGCATATGGGTGTGTGTGTATGTGTAGTGTGCAATGTGTGTATGTGTGTATATTTGCATGTGTGGTGTGTGTGTATATTTGTATATGTGTGTATATTTGTGTGCGTGGTGTGTGTATGTGTGTGTGTATGGGGGGTGGAGGTGTGTGTGTGTATTTGCATGTGTGTTGTGTATGTGGGTGTGCATGTATGTGTGTGGTGTGGGGGGTGGATGTGGGTGTGTGTGGGGGTGTGGTGTGAGTGGGTTGTGTGTGTATGTGTGTGTATGTTCTCACCACAGGATGATTCTCCTGTTTTCGCCCACTGATGGCGAGGTCAAAATCAGTGACTATCACAGTTTCAAAGATTCCCCTGTTACAGAAATCAGCCTGGCTCAGTCCTCCACCAACCAGAAGCAGAACACAGAACCACCTGCTTCCAGGCCCTGGGAGGCACCCGTCTGTCCATGCAACAAGTGTTTGCTGACTGCCTCCAACGTGCCAGCCAAGGAGAAGAGCTGGACACTGGCAGGAAAGGTCCCTCTGCCCTCCCACAACTTAGACGGGGCTAACAAGCAACACATAAGCAGCGCTTGGGTGCTAGAAGTGGAGGTGCTGAGGGGACCTCCCAGGAGACAGTGAGGCCAAGAGCAGGATACAGCTGGAGGCAGGGAAGGGCAGGTGGCTGGGGTCTGGGGCAGGTGGCTGGGGTCCAGGGCAGGTGGCTGGAGTCAAGGACAGGGTGTCTGGGGTCAGTGGCAGGACAGCTAAGGTCAAGGGCAGAACAGCCGGGGTCAAGGGCATTGTGCTGGGTCAAAGGCAGGGCAGCTGGGATCAAGGGCAGGGGACCAAGTTTGGAGAGGAAGGCAGAGGGAGCCGGTGAGAGGTGGCAAGGTTTTGTGCTAGCAGTGGAGAAGCATCCAAGGGCCTAGAAGAAGGGGAACCTGTCACTATTTCCGTTCTAAAGCCCACTCTGAGGCCGGGTGTGGTGGCTCAAGCCTGTAATCCCAGCACTTTGGGAGGCTGAGGCAGGTGGATCATGAGGTCAAGAGATCGTGACCATCCTGGTCAACATGGTGAAACCCCGTCTCTACTAAAAATACAAAAAATTAGCTGGGCATGGTGGCGCGTGCCTGTAATCCCAGCTACTCAGGAGGCTGAGGCAGGAGAATTGCCTGAATCCAGGAGGCGGAGGTTGTGGTGAGCCGAGATCGCGCCATTGCACTCCAGCCTGGGTAACAAGAGCGAAACTCCGTCTCAAAAAAAAAAAAAAAAAAAAAAAAGACCACTCTGGCTGCTGTATGGAGCATGGATGGGGACGTGGAAGCAGGACCAGTAAGAAGCTGAGGCTGTCTTCCAGGAAAGTCCATGGGGCTGGCCCAGTCTGTCAGTGACAGGGACAGTGACAGTGTGGAAAATGACCCACATGGGACAGGCTGCAGAGGCACCTTGAGCTGCATGTGCTGATGAAATGGGCCCTCAGCCTCCTGGCTTAAGCCACCCACTCAGTGGAGCCAGGTACTGACACAGGACAGTCTCAGGGAGGGAAGGAGGCAGGCTGGGGGCAGAAGCTGAGAATTCATGCCTGGACCTGCCGCAGGTGAAATGTCGCCCGGACATCTGGGTGGAGAAGCCAGAGTGAGGGAGGGGCTGGGCTGGATGACACACCCAGGAGGTATCAGCACAGAACCTGAATGCAGTGGCAAAAAGACATACCATAGCTATAACCTTCGCTTACAGCAATTTGCAAAGCAACTGACAATATGTCTGGGCCAGGCACGGTGGCTCACACCTGTAATTCCAACACTTTGGGAGGCTGAGGTGGGAGGATCGCTTGAGGCCAGGAATTCAAGACCAGCCTGGCCAACATGGTGAAAACCCATCTCTATTAAAATACATAAAATTAGCTGGGTGTGGTGGCGCATGCCTGTTAGTTCCAGCTACTCAGGAGGCTGAGGCAGGGGACAGAGGTTGCAGTGAGCTGAAATCACGCCACTGTACTCCAATCTAGTGACAGAGTAAGACTCCATCTCAAAAAAACAAAAACAAAAACAAAAAAACTCCCCTGGAGTCTCAAGGTTAACTCTTTTTGTTTGTTTGGTTTTTTTTTCTTGAGACAGAGTCTCACTCTGTCGCCCAGCCTGGAATCCAATAGCGCCATCTCAGCTCACTGCAACCTCCACCTCCCAGGTTCAAGCAATTCTCATGCCTCAGCCTCCCGAGTAGCTGGGATTACAAGCGCCTGCCACCATGCCTGGTTAATTTTTGGTATTTTTTTAGTAGAGACGGGGTTTTACCATGTTGGTCAGGCTGGTCTCGAGCTGCTGAGCTCAAATGAGCTGCCCGCCTCAGCTTCCCAAAGTGCTTGGATTACTGCTGTGAGCCACCTAGCCCAGCCACAAGGTTAACTCTCAGCCCCCTTCCCCATCAAAGCCTTCACAGTAACCAGAAGGCAGGCATCCAGGAAGAAGCCTTTGCAGAGCACGCACTTTGGCTCATAGAGTCACACGGTGGACGGGCCGGGCCACTGATGCATGACTGATAAGATCTCCTGGGATTCACACAGAACACAAAGGGATTATTCATCACAGTGGATTAAATATAGTGTCTGCAGCCAAGTCTCCAAAGGTATGTATCCCACGCTTGCTCAGAAATCTAACCTCTGATAGGAAGAGACTGGCAGTAATTACAGTGTCCTTTCCGGAGCGAAACGCCCTTGCAGAGCCATCTGAATTTCATGAAGGAGATGTTTATTTTGACCGGTTCAGGGTCATCCTGAGAGTCCTAAATGCCCCTGAGATGCACTATTTGTTTTTCTACTTCTGCAGGAGCTGAGATGGGCTATCCTGACCCAGCCTCTCCCTCTTTGAGCCATGAGCAGAAATTAGTGAACCCAACAAGGGCTGGAGGAGCTCCCTGTGCAGCTGGAATGGGCACAAATCCCTGGGTTCTGGCCTGGATCAGTGGCCTTATGCTTAAACACCCCAGTACAGCCGCGCCTGCAGAGGTCCCCACTCAGCTGCGGTTTGTACCATTTTTTGTTGCGGTTTGTTTTTTTGAGACAGAGTCTTGCTCTAACCCCAGGCTAGAGTGTAGCGGCACAGCCATGGCTCACTGCAACCTCTACCCCCAAGCTCAGCTGATCTTCCCACCTCAGCATCCCAAGTAGCTGGGACTACAGGCATGCACTACCATGTTCAGCTAATTAATGTATTTTTTTTGTAGAGACAGGGTTTCACCACCTGCCCAGACTGGTCTCGAACTCCTGGACTCAAGCGATCCGCCCGTCTCAGCCTCCCAAAGTACTGGGATCTTAGGCGTGAGCCCCCAAGCCTGGTGATTTTTGCTTTGCTAGGCAACCAGGCTGGTTTCAAACTCCTGACCTCACGTGTTCTGCCTCGACCTCCCAAAGTGCTGGGATTACAAGCATGAGCCACCGCACCCAGCCTTAATTTTTGTATTTTCAGTAGAGACGTGGTTTCACCATGTTGGCCAGGCTGGTCTCAAACTCCTCACCT